GGGGCTTATTGAAAAGAATGAGTTAATAAAAAATTTCCAGTAACTATCAATGTGAATGAAATTGGGAACTGAAAATGTTCAGTTAATGAAGGGTTGGAATATGTTAGCAACCTACATGAAAATTCACAAAATGTTTGGTATATCATGTTCATTTTGGTAACTGAAGGGCAACAGGGAGAGGGACTATCTAGAGAACTTGCATCACCCCTAGAGGCGGGTATACATAAAGTGTGAGCCAGCGAGCCATGCCGATGTTGCGAGCCACCACAGATCGGTGCGAGCCACGCGATCTGTGCGAGCCATGTGCAATAAATAAATATAAGAAATTGGTCTTGACCAAATGGTACTGAGTACATCTTATCTCCAGGACACAATAAGCAACTTGCGTGTTAGACTAATTTTTGATCTACAATTCTAGACAAATAACATGCGGACGCTGATTAAAAATGGCTGGAATTTAAAGCAATCAATTAATTATACGCATATTCAGCCGTATTCCCCGCTCCCCGTCACAAATAATTACACGACTAGTCAGCCGTATTCCCCGCTCCCCCGTTACAATGTTGTTGCTACAGATACCGCAATACGGCAATAGTTGCCATAATGACTGAAGTGATCAACATTGTTTCAGGGGAGGGGGACCGACCTTACGAAGTATATATGAAAATGTTTAAAAAAATAATTTATTTGCCATGTTTGTCCGAGTAAATTTGTCTATGATTGTAAGTAAAAAAGTAACTTCCCGTAAAGAACTTGTTAAAACTGGTGAAAATGCAAAGTTTGGTTAGTGCGAATTGTTGTAGAATACGGAAGGTGTAGCCTTGCGGGGTTTGCATGCATGATTGTTTTGTATATGTTACAATATTGTATTTGCCGAAAATGCTAACAACTTCCGCACGTAATACAAACATATGCAAAGCTTGCAAACTTTGCAGGACTGTGTTTACCAGGGCTTGCAACATTTTGCGGCCGAATTTTGCGATTTTGCTAATTTCATTATGTTCTTTTTAGCTGTGGTATTTGATTCCCTTCTCTTTCCTTGGGTTTTAATTTGGTTTATTAACATGTAGGTTGTCCATTAGATCTTAAAACACCCTCAGATAATTTGTAATTGAGTTATTTGAGTTATAAAATTCCTGTAATTGAAATTGGGTTCTTGATTATGTTTATATTTCGTTTCTGAATTTTGTCTATTATTTTACTCATTACATTTCACTCGTTAACCATTTTAAATAATGGCTCGCACCTTGGCTCACGTGGCTTGCACTCTGGCGCATGGCTCGCATGGCTCGCACCCTGGCTCGCACCCTGGCTCGCACTCTGGCTCGCACAATATTGAAACTCCCTAGAGGCACCTATAATGTTAAACTCATCTTACCACATTAAATACAGTTGTTAATGAACGACCAACATTGTAGAACGAGACGCCAAGGTACTTGAGACAAAGATTGTTGAATGTGATCATACCAACAAATACCACAGAAAGAGACAAGATCTATTGAATGATACAAAACACAAACTAAGATGCAACTTATGTGTAAGTTTTAAGTAAAGGTTACCATCATATAAACAGGTTTTTCTGAATAAAGCAGCTTGGTTGTTGGTGCAGGTATTTCAAACACTTGTCTTGTC